GGAATTAGAATTATGCTGGCCTCATAAAACGAGTTTGGAAGTCTTCTTGAATTTTTTGAAATAGTTTGAGGAGAATGGGTATTAGTTCTTCTTCGAATGTTTGGTAAAATTCCCCCGTGAAGCTGTCCAGGCCTGAGCTTTTGTTTGCTGGGAGAATCTTGATTACATCTTCAATTTCTTTTGTTGTTATTGGTTTGTTCAAGTGTTGTAACTCCTCCCAGGTCAGTTTTGGGGGACTATGTAGTTCTAGAAATGTGTCCATTTCGCTTAGATTGTTGAATTTGTTGCCGTATAATTGTTCATAATATTTGTTAACAATCCTTTGTATTTCTGTGGTGTCAGTTAATATTTCTCCTTTTTCATTTCTGATTTTGTGTATTTGGGTTCTCTCTCTCTTTGTTTCTTGGTGAGTCTATCTAAGGGTCCATCAATCTTGTTGATCTTTTTAAAGAACCAGCTCTTTGTTTCATTGATCCTTTTTTTGGTCTCCATGTCATTTATTTCTGTTCTGATCTTTACTATTTCCTTTCTTCTACTTGCTCTGGGGTTTTCTTTTTGTTTGCTTTCTAGTTACTTAGCTTGTGAGGTTAGATAGTCTATTAGAAATTTTTCTTGCTTCTTGAGGTAGGCCTGTAGTGCTATGAACTTCACTCTCAGAACTGCTTTTGCTGCATCCCATAGATTTTGTGTTGTTGTGTGTTCATTTTCATTGATTTCCAGGAAGTTTTTAATTTGTTCCTTAATCTCCATGGTAACCCATTCATTGTTCAATAACATGCTATTTAGCCTCCATGTGTTCAAATATCTTTGCATGTTCTTGTTGCAATTAATTTCTAGTTTCATGCCATTGTGATCTGAGAAGATGCTTGATATGATTTCAATCTTTTTGAACTTGTAGAGATGTAGTTTGTGCCCTAACATGTGGTCTATCTTTGAGAATGTCCCATGTGCACCTGAGAAGAATGTGAATTCTGCTGTTTTGGGGTGTAATTCTCTGTACATAGCTATGAAATCCATTTGATCTAGCGCTTCATTTGGAGTCTGTGTTTTCTTGTTAATTTTTTGTCTAGATAATCTATCCAGTGATGTCACCGGGGTAATGAGGTCCCCTGTTATGATTGTATTGCTGTTCATTTCTTCTTTGAAGTCCTCCAAAAGATTTTTAGTCCTTCCAATGTGGTCTTTATTTCTGCTATGTCATTCTTCATTTCCACTTTGTTGATTTTCAATGTTTCTATATCTTTACTCATGGTGCTGATGTCCTTACTCATGCTGTTGAGCTTCCTCAAGATCATGGCTCTGAACTTTACCTCTGATAATTTGTTTAACTGCATTTCATTGATCTCATCTTCGATAGAGTTCTCTTGTTCTTTCATTTGGGATTTGTTTCTTTGTTTCACCATTTTGGCTATCTCAGTGGGTTTTGGAGCCTGCCAAATTTTCCCTGTGGGTGTTGGTGTTCTGCTGTTTGTGTCTCCCTCTGCTGGGTTTGAATGGACCTGGGCAGGCCCACGTTAAACACCACTGTCAAGTCTTACTTTCCTGGGTAGATTTGCAAGCCCAGGAAAGGTTCAATTATCCTCTAGCTTTTTCCTGGTGGCTAGTAGGCTCAGTTACTCAGTGCCTTGGAATATAGCCCTGGTGTTCTGCATAAGAAGATTTCCAGAGGGTGGGATAGATGCTGGTTGTTAATGAGCCTCAATTTGCATTTCTTTGCCTCACCTGGGAATGGCAGAATCTCTGAGGTGGGGGGCTGCTGCATTTCCTCTCAGCTCTGGGAAGGAGCACACTGGCCACCATCATTTTTGGCCGCAACTCAGCAAAAACTTTGAGTGCCCTCCAAATCTCGGGTGTCCCCACAAAGTTTCAGCCTAGTCTGCCCTTCCTCTGCCTTAGCCCCCAGGTGAGTGGCTGTGGCTATTTTAGCTCTCTGTCCTGGCTCTCTGCATTGTGGAGCAGGCTTGGTCTTTATTCCCCAAGGTTACTGCTCACAGCTAAGACTGCTGCTGTCCCTGGGCTCCCAGCCCAGCACCCTCTTGTGCCTCTGCAGAACCTACCAGTGTCCCTGGTCATATCGTCCTGTCCTGCTGCTTTTCTGTTGCTTTTTTCTGAGAATTTGTCTTAATTTTATTTGTAATTCTCGTTTGGTCCTGGGAGATAGTCCGTGTAGCTTCTATTTACTCTGCCTCCATTTTCACATCCTCTATGCCTATCTTATGTGCATCTGGGTAGCACAGGCCTTTCTGGTGCCCCCGCACCCTGCAGGTTCCATGGGTAACTGGATCGCCCAGTCCCTTTGAAGACCTGGTTCTATGCCTATGTTATGAACTGCTTTGTCGCACAGGCCTCTCTGGTGCTTCAGCACCCCACAGGCCCCTTAGGTAACTAGATTGTGCTGACCCTGCTTGATCATACAGTCCTCTCTGGTGCTTTAGCACCCCACAGGTCCCGTGGGTAATTGGATGGCACAGTCCCTGCTGGGTCGCATAGGCCTCTCTGGTGCCCCTGCACCCTGCAGTTCCTGCAGGTGGGCAGCTGGATTGCACCAGTCTCTCTCGGGCTCTAGCTTCCCACTGCTCTTGTGTGCTGCTGAACCGCACAGGCCTCTGTGGAGCCCCAGGTCCTGCTGCTGGTGGCTGGGGAGTGCTGCTGCTCCTCGGTGGGGCTCAACTCCTGCTCAGCTTTTGCTGTAGTTTTTGGGGATGGGTCTCAGCTGCTGGTCTGTGCTTCTGTTGCCTGGGGATGTCTGTCTGCTCTCCACACCCTTTTTTACTGGAAAAAAAATTATGAGGATGTTATAGAACTAACACCTTTGGGAAATTTCCTGTATGGGGCAGGCAATGGTTTTCCTCTGTTTGCCCCAGGTCCATCCTTTGTCTCTCTGTTCCTGGTCTGTCTCAGGAGGCTGACTCCTGTGGATTGAGTAACTCAGGTTTTCCCTGCAGGCTAATTTACTATTGGGTTCAAAAAGCCAATGGGAGGAGGATATTGGAGGGAGAGAGGGAGGAAACTTGGGAGGGAGGGAAGGAAGGATGGAGGGAGGGAGAGGCCAGGTTGGTCATTCCCTGCTCTTTCCTACTTCAGCACCAGGTTTTGGCAGTGGCTGAATCCCTCTCCAGGGCTGCTCCTGCCAGATGGCCCCTCCTTCAACAGCTCCAGCTCCCCTTGGGCTTGGGTAAGGCCACTCCTTCTCCACCTTTCTCAGGACTAGAGTGGTCAAGGCACCCCACTGTTGTCCTTCTCTAGGTGCCTCAGCATCCCTTGTCCTTCCCTTAACTCAGCCCACAAGGCTTCATTCTCTTCATTAAAGTCTTTTCAATTGAACTACCCAAGTAAAATTGTGTTTCTTGCCAGACCCTGAATGAAACAGGGTCTAAAACTCCATATGACGCCCCACAATCATTTTTCCTTCTTATAGGAAGCAGATAAGAGTAACTGAGTGTGACTAATGTCTACTGCTCTTAAGCACATTATGCCAAGGCCTATGTACCTCTTTAAGAATCAGCTGCCAGGACAGAAGGCAATCGTTATATCTGCAAATCCTCATTGTATTACTTTGTAGGGCTGCCATACAAAGTACCACAAACTGGTGGCTTAAACAATAGAAATTAATTTTCTCACAATTCTGGAGGCTACAAGTTTGAAATCAAGGTGTTACAGGGTTGGTTTCTTCAGAGGCCTCTCTCTTTCTCTCTGACTCTACATTGTCTCCCTCCGTGCTCATATCTGTGACCTAATCATCTCTTCTTATAAGGACAGCAGTTATATTGGGTTAGGACTTTTTCTCATGTCTTCATTTTACTTAACTACCTCTTTAAAGACCTCATATCTAAGTATAGTCACATTTTGAGGTATGGGGGGTTAGGATTACAGTATAAAAGTTGGGGAAGTTGCCCTGGCCGGTTTGGCTCAGCGGTTAGAGCGTTGGCCTGCGGTCCGGAGAGACCCGGGTTCGGTTCCCGCTAAGGGCATGTACCTCGGTTGCAGTTTGTCCCCGGCCCTGGTTGGTCGTGCGGGTGGCAGCCACTCGATGTGTCCCTTTCACATCGATGTTTCTCTCTCTCTCTCCCTCCTGCTCTATCTGAACAAAGAATGAAAAAGTGTCCTCGGGTGAGGATAAAAAAAAAAAAAAAAAAAAAAGTTGGGGAAGTCATAATTCAGCCCATAATACTTCTTATATTTCAAAAGATATGTGTGTATATATGTATGTATTACATATATTTGTGTATATATATGTATATAAACACAATATACATATACATGTATATAATATATGTTTTATATATGTATGTATGTATAATTTTTTAAGTGAAAAAATTGAGAATGAATGTTATCTGGGCTCTTAATTTATTCTCTGAGCAAAACTATTAAATAACACAGAAAGCTCCCAAACTCAACACAATATCTGGTTCTCCCCAGGCTCAATCACAGGCCACAGGCAACTGTCTCTAAGTGACTTTATCAGTTCTGAACATGGAGACCATTCAGACAGGTAAGAAAGAGAAATGTCACCTTCAGGTTAAAGGCTGTACAGACAATATCTGACCAATACTTAGTGTTGAAATAATTGGGGAATAGAGGGAGCATGAAACTCACTGATGAATTTCCGTCCTTTGGTATTCTTCAATTTTTATCTCATTTTGATCAAAAGAGTCACAGTATGCACTTGCTCAGAGAGAGGAGGGCATTCCTAAGTATGGCAGGTCCTGTATCAGAGACACTTAGCTAAAAGGCAGTAATTGTTGCAAAAGAAAAGGTGAAAGACATAAGAGGCATCTACCTATGGAATGATATCTTGGATGGTTTAGAAGGCAGGCAGCTCAGTGTAAAAGTGGGGGATTTAGTCTCATTTCCACTTCCAGCCAAAATGATGAGACCAAGAACAGTAAAAGAGACACACTTTATTAGCCACTCTCTACAGTCAAACCCTCTGTCTTTCTTCCCCACTCCTCTCATCTCCTGCAGGGTATGACATCCCCATGGAATCCTCTATGTGGTCCTCATGGTGGGAGAACAAGAGGGTTTGCATTCTTGGCTGGTCCTGGGCACTTAGCAGAGTGTTGTTCTTTGGGGAAAGGTAGGACAATCAGCTTCTCACTCATAGGCTCCAGGAAGAGGAAGGAAACATTGAGGGTTTCTCCCTGGGGATTTGTGGTTAGATCCAGCTGTACAGGGAAGGCCTCAACAGGACTTGTTTTTAGGGATTCTTCAGGCATCTCATCAGTCAAGTTAGGGAGGTGCTGGACAGATCCTCTGGGCCCAGCTTTGGTAGGTGAGTAGGTGGGTTCTGTAGAATTTTTGTCTTCAGAGGTGGAAGCCTGAAATAATAATGCTTTTAATAAGGGAATTTTCCCCAGGGAAATCTCTGCTGTGCCTAGTACCAGGCTAAGCTGTTCTGTGCCTTTCTGATGGAATGTTTCAAAGGAAACCCAGCTGAGGGATGGGTCTCTGGTAAAGCAAAACAGATTAGGGCCAGGGGGGACCAAGACTGACTGAAGCTTGAATGCAAGTCTCACAAATCTAGAATGGAACAATGATACAGAGGTTACATGACTTATTCCAAATCCCCGCTGTCTCCCTGCTCCTAGTAGTGGCAGCAATAGCCACCTTTTACTAATTGTTTATTTTTTGTGAGACCCAATACAGCACCCTTTATCCAGATCTCCTCACTTGTTTCTCACAGGGAACTGAATGAGGCAGGCATTGCAATCCCATTCATAGATGAGGCAACCACGACTCAGAGAGGTAAGAATTTGCCCACAGCTCACAGGTGGCAGAGCAGAAATGGAATCCAGATGGCCTCTCTCAACCACCCTTTCAACTATATCAGGCTGTCTCACAGTAAGTGCTCAATTAGTACTTCTGGTAAGGGACTGAATATTTCCAAAGAAACAATTTCTTTCTTCAGTTCAGTGTAAGGGTCTTTGGGACACTGAATTTAATGTCTCAGAGGCCTGACATCTAAGCTTGTACGTTCTTGTTTCTGAAGGAGCCTTAATTATTTGGCAGCAGCACATAGAACAAAGAGTTACAGGTCTTTACTTAGCTAACCTGTGGGTGTGACCTCAGGAAAACCTGAATAAAGTGGTGACCATGGCTCTTAGGAAAATAAAAGGAGAGGATGGGGTAGGGATAGCTAAAATATAGATAATCTGCTTTTTTCTTCACAGGAAGACAGACGATTAGAATGAAAAATACCTGTGATTCAAAGAAGTTACAAGTCACGGAGACATCCTTTTTAATGACTTGGTCAATCAGGGAACCTTTGCAAAGACCAACAGGCTAAAAAAAAATGAGAGAGAGAAGATACAATGTTGTTTGAGTTTTACAATTATCAATGATCATAAAGGGAAATCAAATTGCTTTCTGCTTGTGTGGAAAAACAACCAATCAACATTTTTATTCTACTACCATACAACAGTCAAGCTCTGAACCAATTCTCTCTAGATTATCCCTACGAGTAACCACCCAAACAAGGCTAAACTGCCTCCAATGATGGAAAATTCAAAACTTCTTACAGAACAAACTTTATTAGAAAATTATTTATAATGAGTGGAAATCTGTGTCTATAGATTACCTCTTGGCCTTATTTCTACCCTTGGGTCAATTAATAAACTTGTCCTTGATGTGCATACCACGTGAGTTGACTCTTCTCAGACAAAACCACTCTCAGTCCTTCAGCTTCTCTTTATTTAAAGATAAAATAATTTTGTTTTCTTATTACACACGTAATAGTTATTTAGAATATGGATAAACAGAAAGAAAAGAAAAAAACCTGTAATTGCATGAAAGGTACCTGTTTCCTACAATGATTTGATTCCTTTTCTTCTAATCTTTTCCCTATATATTTTTTTTTCTTCTAGAAAATAGGATTATGCTATACATATTATTTATAACTCTCTTTTGTCATTTAATAATATATTGTAAAAATCCTTTAATGGCATTGGATAGTCTTCTATGCTCCTCATAATGGCTACCTAATATTCCTCTGTGTTATTTAACAAATTCTCTTTTGTTAGACAATAGATTGTATATCATTTGTTTTGTTTAAATGTTGAAGCTATATCTTTTCATATCACCCTAGTTAATTTCTTAGGGTGAGTTACTGGAAGAGAAATTTTAGAGTCACAGAGTATACACATTTTCAAGTGTAAATATAACATTATAATAAAACATTGCCTTAATTTTCCAGAGAACTGTAAGAATACAGTATTTACATTGAACTTACTAAAATGTGTCTAAAGAGCTTGCCTGAATATTTCTCTATCACCCATCTCCAGAATATATGAAAAACAGAAAGATAAAAAATTCTTAAGAATGGGGAAAGTCCGTTAATGTAGAAAGTCCTTGGGGAATGGTGCTTCAGCCTTTCCCTTCTCCTCTTCATCATCAAATCACATAGGGAAAGGGCTCTAAGAGAGTTTTCTGGGAAGACTGCAGGTACTGGTACCAGGTAGAGCCTGGCCCCTCCCACTCAGCCTAAGATTTGCTGAGCTACCATGATTCATAGGCCTGCCTGGCACTGAAAGCAGAGTGGATCACAAAGAGGGAGTTTGAGAGCATGCTTGACTTGGGAATTCTAGGGTTTAGAGACAGGTAGGCTATGGAGATTGGGATCTGCTTCTCTCTCAGAGCATTCTAAGAGCAGGTCTTGGATAAAGCAGCCTACTATGGTAAGGAGACAGAGCAGCCAGAGAAACCTATCTCCACTGTCTGGCACAGTAAAAATGCATGAGGTTTACGTGAGACAAGCCAATGTCATATATAGTGTTCTTTTGAATGTGCCCACCTGAAGGGACTTCCAGATACAGGGCATTTAGTAGTAAAAATATGTGGGGGCTGAATCTGAGAAGGAGTGGTTTCAAGTAGTCAGCTAGAGAATACATCATCCTACCAGGAAAAGACCTCTGGATGAACTCACACTTGTACCACCTGGAGAATCAGCACTGGAGCCTGTTTCACAGAGAGCCAGTGTAGACCAAGAGAAAACTACAATTGCAGGTTTAGTTATGTAAAAAGACCTTTTTTCTCTACTCCTCTCTCATTCTTCTTAGAACTTGGAAGATCCAGAATTAAGTGAAAGATTGCAGGAGGGGAAGAAAGAATGAAAGAACAGACCTCGATCCCTTTCTCACATCAGGTCTTAAGCTCTAAGTCAGGTTTGAGCTACAGACCGGGAAAAGCTATGCATTCATTGTGAGATAGAAATGTTGATTCAGCATTGACTGAACAGTCAAAACCTGAAAGTGGATCTTTTTTTTTTATCCTCACCCGAGGATATTTTTCCCTGAAAGTGAATCTTAATTTCAAGTGTAAATAGTGAAATTGTTTCTCTTACTGAACATAACCAGACAGCTATGGAATCTGCCCAAGATGCCATTTACAAGTGAGAAAGAGATCCCAAAGAATAGGGTGAAGATGTTTCCCTAATTATTCCTTGAGAAAATTAAGAATATAAAATTGACTGGTTACAGAAGGCTTTTGAGAGACATACTTTATTATTTACTCATTAAAAAAATGTTTTGTTGATTTTTTAGAGAGAGGGGAAAGGAGAGAGAAATATAAACATATATCAGCTGCCTCCTGCAAGCCCCCTACTAGGGATTGAGCCTACAACCTGGGCATGTGCCCTGACCTGGAATCAAACTGGGACCTTTCGGTTTGCGATGTAAACTGTAACCAAAAGAGAGCTGGAATGGCTATATAAATATTAGGCAAAATTGTCTTTAAGACAATATGTTACTAGAGAGAAGGAAAAGTATTTTAGAATGACAAAGGGGTCAATTTAGTAGAAAGACACAATAATTATACTTATATATGACCTGCAACAGAACCCCAAAATACGCTAGCCAAAACTGACAGAATTCAAGGGAGATGTAGAGAATTCAACAATAATAGTTGGAAACCTCACTTTCAATAATGGATAGGACAACTATGCACAACATTAACAAGGAAACAGAAGTCTTACACTGCACTATAAACCAACTAAACCCAACAGTTACCCAGTTACCGAATGCTTCACCTAACAACAACAGAATACTCATTCTTCTCAAGTGTACATGGAACATTTTCCAGGATATACTTTATGTTAAACCAGAAAATAAACTTTAATAAATTTAAGAATTGAAATCATTCAAAGTACATTCTCCAACCACAATGAATTTATTTTAGAAACAGAGTAACAGAAGGAAATTGGGGAGTTTCATAAATATGTGGAAATTAAGTAACATACTCCTAAGTAACCAATTGGTCAAAGAAGCTATCCCAAGGAAAATTGGAAAATACTTTGAGATGAATGGAAACAAAAACACAATATGCACAACTTACTGAGATATAGCTAAAGAATTTCTTAAAAATATTTATAGATGTAAATGCCTATGTTAAAAAGAGAAAAAAGAGCTCTGGTCAGTGTGGCTCAGTTGGTTGAGTGCTGGCCTATACACCCAAAGGTTCAATTCCTGGTCAGGGCACATACCCAGGTTGCAGGTTTATAAGGTTGGGGTTCATATGGAAGGCAGCTAATAAATATTTCTCTTATGTCAATGTTTCTCTCTGTTTCCCTCTGTCTCTCTCTCTCTCTCTCTCTTCCTTTCTCTCTCTCTAAAACCAATAAAAAATATTTTAAAAAGGAAATAGAAAAAAGATTACAAATCAATAATTTAATCTCTACTTTAGAAAACTAGAAAAGCAAGAGCAAACTGAGCCCCCCCCCCCCAAAAGCACGAAGATGGTAAAAATAAAGAATAGAAAGGAAAACCAGATGATAAAAAAAAGAAATAAAATAAACAAAACTGAAAGTTGATTCCTTGAAAAGATCAATAAAATTGGCAAAGCTCTAGTTAGACTAACCAAGCAAAAATGACTCAAATTAATAAAATTAGAATTAAAGTGGGGATATTACTTCTGATCATTCAAAAATAAAAAGGGAATATTATGAACAACTGTATGCCAGAAAATTAGATAACTTAGATGAAATGGGCAAATTTCTAGGAAGTCATGGGCTGCCAAAATTCAGTGAAGAAGAAATAAAAAATCTGTGTAGACCTATAACAAGTGATTAAATCATTAATGAAAAAACTTTCCACAAAAGTCCAGGCACAGATGGCTTTACTGTGAATTCTACCAAACATTTAAAGAAGAATGAACACCAACAAACTCTTTTAAAATAAAATAGAAGAGGAGGAGAAATGTTTTAACTTATTCTATGAGGCCAATAAGAAACTTACTAAAATTAAGCAGACAACCCAAGAAAACTACAGATCAGTATCTCTTATGAATACTGATTAAAAATCTTTAAAAAAAAAAATACTGACATGGAATTCAGTAACATGTAAAAAGTATTATATGCAATGATAAATTAGAATTTACTCCCAAAGTACAAGATTGTATTAAGATACAAAAATCAATTATTGTGCCCTGGCCGGTTTGGTTTCTTGGTTAGAGCGTCGACCTGTGGATCAGAGTCACAGGTTTGATTCCGGTCAAGGGCATGTACCTTGGTTGTGGGTTGCTCTCAGCCCTGGTCGGGGTTATATGGGAGGCGACCAGTCAATGTATCTCTCTTGCATCAATGGTTTCTCTCTCTCTCTCTCTCTCTCTCTCTCTCTCTCTCTCTCCCCACACACACACACACACACACACTCTATCTGAAAATAAATGGGAAAATATCCTCGGGTGAGGATTTAAAAAAAAAATCAGTCATTGTTACATATAATACTAATAGATTAAAGGAGGGGGAAAAAATCACATGATTATCTCGTTAACACCGGAAAAGCATTTGACAAACTCTAACACTCTTTTATTGATAAAAAAACATTCAACAAACTAACAATGGAAGGAAACTTTCTCAACTTGATAAAGGGCATCTATGAAAAACCTACAATTAATGTCATATTTAATGATGAAATACTGAATGCTTTCCCCCTAAAACAGGAATAATACAAGGATGTCTGTTCTCTCCGCCTTTTTTTTTTAATGCTCACCTGAGGATATTTTTCCATTAATCTTCAGATAGAGTGGAAGGGAGGGAGGAAGGGAGGGAGGGAGGGAGGGAGAGAGAGAGAGAGAGAGAGAAATATTGATGTGAGAGAGACACATCACCTGGTTGCCTCCTGCACGACCCCGACCAGGGTTGGGGACGAACCACACTGAGGTATGTGCCCTTGACTGGAATCAAACCCATGACTCATTGGTCCATGGGCTGATGCTCTAACTGCTGACCCAAACCTGCCAGGGCTTTCCACCTCTTTTTAATATTGCACTGGAAGTTCTAGCCAGGGATA